AGGGCCTACTGTTGTCAGGTTGCTGGGTTCTGGTGCAGATATATTGTCCTGGGTGTTAATGATGATGTTTTTTGTGCTTGTCCCTAGGCATCTGGCATTGGGATGATTGTGATTGCAGGTGTTGGTATCTGGCTGTGTTTTTGTTGGGTGGGTATTGCATTCTTTGGTTTCTGTTGTCCTTTCTTGATCTTCGGAACATGTGGTGGCTGTGGGTTGCCCGTTAGGGAGTGTTTCTGAACCCCTGCTAGGTGTGGCCATGGGGTGTTCCATGTAGAGTGTATTTCTTAGGTATTAGCAGCCTACATGAAAGAATAGTGAATAGCTCAAAGTGGGGTGGGGGGCTGAAAGGGTCTGCAGGCTTTGGGAAAGCTGCTGTTATGGGGTCCCCTAGGTAGTGGAGTCAGAGAGAAGAAACAGGCCCCTGCAAGTGGTCTGCTACAGGGCTGGGGATGAGAATGGGGAATTTGCAGTGCAAGGAGTGTGAAGATTACCCTCCTGACTCCCAGGCCAGAGAAACACAGTGTTCCCAGGTGGAGAGTGCCTCTGGGTATTGACAGTTGACACACAGTGTTGGGGTGAGGGAGGAAGGCTGGGTCCACCACAGCTTCTCTCTGTTACTTTTTTTTATCTTTTGGAAAGCCACACTATTTCCTTTGGGGCAAATATTTTGTTATACATTTTACCTAATTTTAAATATGACTATGATTTATGATGTTCATATTATGTTCATAGATAAAATGTCTTCTGGTATGTGCTATAAATTTTTGTTCTGCTAGTTTTCAGTTAGATAGAGCATGTTAATTTCCATACAAACACATTTAAATGTATAGCTTTTAATTTTTGTTTCATAATCATAAAATAGATCCCTATTTTAAAACTAGAAAATTATTCTAAGAATTTCTTAAGGAATAATATTTTTAATATTTTAACCTTGTACAAACTTACCTTAGTTCAGGAGGGTTCTCTCTGTCTCTTTTTAGCAGGATGTTTCTAAACTCACTATTGTTACCTACTGTGACAACATTACTCATGGAATAACAGAGCTTTTCTTCACAAATTTGAGGGTGTGTGTGTGTGTGTGTGTGTGTGTGTGTGTGTGTGTGTGTGTGTGTTGTACTGACCTGTCTGTTATGTTCATGGTACAGTATCCCATTGTTTAACTATAATAACTTTATAATATATTGACATGTCTGACAGTGCTAACTCCTACCCCATAGTGTTTATATTTAAGAATTTTCCTCAACATTTTAAAAGTTCAGTTATGTGTTTATTGTGGTTTTATTGAACACTAATAACTGAACATTGAGAATACCGCTCAGTGAACTAAACATATCTGCGTGGCTGCCATCCCAGCTGAGATAGAATATTATGCCTGATGGCTTCTGAGGAACCAAGGATAAATCCTCAAGAGTGGACTGTCTACCGTGGCTGAAAGTGCAAGGCCTTCTTAGGGAATGTCTGTAAAGAAGGAATCTGACTCCTTGTCAGACCCAGAGGCTCTTTCCAATCATTCAATCTGGCTTTCCTTGTCCAGACAGATAATTTTATCCATCTGGGAAGTCCAGAAGCATTGTTGGCCTTATGTCTCTCATGGACCCATAGGCCTTTAATTTGGGGGATGTATGGTTTCCTGGGGAAGACACTTCAGGTGAGGATTTAAATTCAGAGATCGTATCTCTGCTGAGGTACCTGGATATTCTACATGTTGCTGCTTTATAAATATTATACAAAGATTGGCTTGGGTAGGCAACTGTGTTTTTATATAGCTTTCATTTAATAATCAAAGGAAAGACAAATGCACTTACTATGCAGAATACCTTTTTAGCAAGTGTCCTGATCGTTCTTCCTTTCTTCCTGGGTGCAGATATGAGTTTATTCTGGACCAGTCAAGTCCTTACTTCTTGGTTAAGATATCAAAAGCATCAGAACAAGTTTAAGGCTGTGTCTAGTTCTCCATGCTGTGCACAGTCTGTGTACACTGTGTGAATTTGCATCAGCCCATGCTCTGTGAGAGGCCTGGTGCAGCGTTGCAGATTTCCTGCATCTATCCAGGGCAAGTAGAACCAAAGCCAGAGCTTCAGGCCTTGACTCAAATCCTCCATGCCCTCTGCTGGTGTTAGGAGGTATCCTCTCCATCCTAATGTCATCCCTCATAGGCATTTCCCAATTCAACACTGACTAACACTCTGAAGGATCTAAGCTATGGAAACATTGATTCTCAAGGGTAACCATAACTGTTCTGTTTTTCCCTGGGTCCAGCGAACCTCTTCCATTTCAGGAAGTCAGGAACCCCTTCAGGGTAATGATACCAAGAAAGAATTTTCGAGTGATTATTGACTAGTCACTGATGTTGCAGTTTAATGCTTAGCTGTGCTGCCTCCTGGTGGAAAATGTGATTCTTGTGAGTCCTGAAGGGTAAGCAACAGTCCACCTTTAATAGATGTATCTGACAAATGGATTTCAAAAAGTCTCTGTGGCATTGTGTGCATAAGTATATATGATAGTGTGTTGTGAATGAATGTTATCTCAGTGTCAATAGTGTGTTGTGAATGAATGTTAAAATCTCGGTGTTGAATGCATTTGTACATATATACTCTATGATAAATAGCAGAATTCTGATAAACATTTCTTCCTTAAATAAGAGTGATGTTAAGCATTCTGGATAGAGGGTTCTGGAAGAACATTGTACAAAAAGAGATTGGAAGCAGGCAGCATCTGATGGCCGATCTCCAAGACACAGAGTCAATATGAGATTGGTCTGTTTCCTTTCATCCCCCAAGTGAGGATGACCTTTACACAGTCCTCCTACCTGCACCAGCCCTGAATGTAGCCTGCTGGCCACTTCTATGGAAGAAGTATCTATCTGACTATGGGAGCTCTCTGAGCTCTTTGCTCTGAAGGCCTTGTGTCTCCACTGTTACCTGGAATTTACACCCAAATATTACTGATGCAGTGTCTTCTCCCTGCCCTGATCTTGGGAAGCTTACTTACTGTTTGCCTAGAACTCTAGACCTGCCTGGGACCTTGCTAAACCAGAGAGTGTTTCTGCTTGGTGCTGGCTGAGACACATCTTCCAATGGTGTATGAATCCTTCCATGTCTGTCTTCTGGCTGTTCGCTCTCAGCCTTTCTCTCGTGTCTTACAGTTATCCTTGTTTTCCCTATTGTTAGCAATTCATACATTAAAATTCCTGTTTAACTGCATCTATGAGTCTATATTTCGATGGAACCCACTACACAGACAGCTTAGACCCATGCCTCTGAAGACTCCAGTGGGTCCTCAATGTAAATTTAAATTACCTCATTAGCTTACAACTTTTAGTAAAAATTAAATTTACTTAAAGTATTTTAAATCATGCAACATTTTACAATTTAGAAACAATTTTCTGTTGCATTATCTCATTTAATCTTGAAGCTAAACCGATTTAGTTTGCATATTCATTGTGGGTGTTGTTTTTAGTCTTAAAAGTCAAAGTGAGATGCTGGATGCCACCCTGCTTACCTTGGAAGTGGGAGAGCTTCATCCACCTGCCGATCACGTAATCTCACTACTGCCCTCTTGTGGTCTGGTGCCTATCAGAACTCTACTTCATATTTCCTAAACAACATTTTTGGCCTCTAGGGTTTAGCTCATTACGGCAACTTTCATCCTTAAAGACATTCTATATAATACTGAACATTGACCAAAATGACCCAAAATATTTTTAGTTTTCCCATTTTTCAATTTTTTTATTTTCTATTATACTGTACTTAAAATTATTAGAATAAAACCTGTGTAGAATTAATTAAGAACTAAAAGTACACATCCTTTCTTCCTAAGAGAAGTTTGATTTTATTTTTCTGGAAAAAATGGTTTCTAAAGTCATTTATGCATCATATTTTAAGTTTTGACTTTTAATAGAATACTTTTGTTTTTAAAAGAAATATAAACAACATATTTTAATGTTAAAGTTGGTAAAGAAGAATTTTTCTCTGACACGCCAGAGGTGAATAAATTTGTTTAAGAACAATGGAATATTTAAAAATATTGAATATCTCAAGCTTATGGTAATATTAAAAATAAGAGAAATAACATTAATGAAGTTTTCTTATCCATTAGATAATATACATCAAACTGACTATGATCTAGAAAATTTGCCTGTTAATTAGTGCCCAAGTTGAAGGTCATGTGCTCTGGGCTCAGACAATCTGTTGGTGACTTTCTAGTTTCCTCAGATTAGGTATCTTATCTTCTTAACTGTGTGTTATATGTTAATGAAAAATTGACATGTATAATTTGCTGGTCACATGACACTTACATTCTCTACGTTTGTGCATTTGTGATTAAAATTATCACTTAACTTTATATGGATAATTGATATATATAGGATCTCTCATATACATATATATCCCTCTCACCAACCTTATGAACACCAGCCTGTCTCAATGTTAAGGCTCAGAAACAGTCCCAGAGGGTGGGTGGAGCACCACTGTTGCCTTTGGACCACTGTTGAGCTGGAAAGGACAGTTCTTTGAGAACATTTTCCTAAACCCACAACATCTATCCCCTCGAATATAAAAGGAAAAGAGACTACAATGTGTGGGCAGCCACGCCAAGGCCTCACAGGTGTCTTAACTGGGCTCTGTACAGATCCTCACTGATCCTGGTTCCTGTGTGGAGGATCTTGCCATGGGACTCAGTGACATGGTTACACTCAGAATTTTCATTTTTAATTTTTAACTGCGCCACCTCCTTCCTGGGCACCACACTCTCCCACTGAGAGTCTGAGCAGCATGTGCAGGAGGACTGCTCAGTGATGCTGTGAACTGCCCCTGCAGCATCATACGCATTAGGAACACTGGGCCGTTTGTGCTCTGAAAACATCCTCCCCCATCTTCTCTCAAGACCTTCCCTGCGCAGAGCCTTCCTGACAGCTCAGACTCTGGGTCTATCTGGAAGGAAATTTCCTGCTTGGCTAGTTCACTGGGGAGTCTGGTTAAGGAATCAATGGAGACCAGTGCAGGCTCCACCAGGAAAATCAATAAACACCAAGAAGCTAAAGGAACCATAAGAGATCAGCTTTATTTCTGCATGCTGACAAAACGTTGGAAAACAGTTTTCTTTCATCTTCAGTTCTTCTTGGCCTAGTATCCAGAGCCAACGCCGGGAGGCCTAAAGGATCCCATGCATCTTGCTCGGGAGGGGAGGGAGGAAGACTGAGTGAGGAAGAGCATCAGTCAGCTGCAGTTTCCAGAGCTATGACCACAGCTGGAACATCCCGAGGACTCATTCTCAGGGCAGTCAGAACGCTGAGGCTGGCGAAGGTAGAATCGAGGAAACCGGTGAGATACTAGGGAGCACCTGCCTCCGAAGCCGGAAATACAGCAGGTGGAAACACAGCAGGCGGGGGCTGGAGGGGCACTGGGAGGGAGGCATGGAGCAGGAGCCTGGGGACCTTGAAGGGGACACTTGGGTGGACACTTAGCAGAGAACTGGCACTTCTGCTTTTTTTGCTGGGAGGACATCTTGGACAAACTTCAGTTATCCTGAAGAGAGAAAAATAATGCAGACATTTTGATAAACCAATGAATGCAAACTGTTTTGCATTCATGTTTCTGCACAGCCTGAAACTCTGCAACTGAACCTGTGAGTCCATGGGCTGCGGTGTCATGACAGCAGAGAAGCCCTGGTTTCCCAGTATGGAAGAAGCCCAGCAGTGGGTAAGCCAGAGTTAGGTAAGCCTTCTTCTCACTGCTCTGCTTCTCCTAAGACTCTCACTTCAAAGACTTCACCAGCACCTGCTGGTCTTCCAAATCTTAAGTTAGTTTTTCTCATATGATCTACGTTATGCGTTTACCGTACTTTCCACCCAAGTGCATCGTTACATCGCCTTGCTCTACAATCTCCCTTTGCTTTGCTTTCCTGTGTCACGGGTTCTGGCTAAGTTCTCTTCTGTCCTGTGTGGCCCTCTCGTCCTACAATAGCCTCTTCTCCTCCATGCCTTCCCATCACTCTAATCTCCAGCTAACATTTGACCTTCCTGGAATGAATGGCAGTTTTAAATCGTCTCCAGGATTTCATGTCCCTGAAATGACCCATTAGCTCTTGCTCATTCTCCGTCCTGGACCAGATTGTCCCATTCAGCTTGGCCATAGCCAAGCCAGCCATCCCTCTAACAGCCGTTAGATCAGTAAGACGACTCACCTTGTTCTCTTAATGTCAGGCAGGCAATGGAACTGAGGAGACCCTGTGAGTAGAAGTCTTTTATACATCTACTGCTCCAAAGTCAGAATGAGCCATGGATGATGTGAAAGCTGTTTCCTGCTCAGGTGGCTGTGATGACAACAAACCCACATGCTAGTGGCTGTCATTTTGTCACTGTGTCACGCTGGGTCACTCTCAGCTCCTCATGAGTATCTTCCCAGGGCATCTCTTCTCTCCATACGCCTTGGTAATATTTCCATAAAAGCAAGATCATAGTTTACAAGGATGTGTAGGAGAATGAAGCGTGGGAACTAGGCTGAAGTTGTACTTTCTGGAAGAATGCAGAGCAAATGGGGCAGCACATCTAAAGTCACAGAGGCCCGGCCAGCTCAGGGAGCTAAGAGAGAATTTTGAAGGTTTTGCCAAGTTTGGAAGCTATAATAAAAGCACTGCTGACCACTAGTGAGGATTCAGTGGATTTGATTCAGATAGCAAAAGCACCTGGAACACTGAGCAGTAGTGTCAGACCCTCCTGGAAAGGGCTTGAGTTACTGCTTCCACTTCGCACAGGCCACAACACTGACAGCCAGACTGAATGAAGGAGAAGCTCAAAGTTTGTGCCTCCCAAATCCCGACCACAGACTGGGGCATCTTTTCTGCATTCATAGCCCCTCTTTCCATTTGCTTGTTTGCATCCACTGTGTTTGATCTCCTCCTCCTCTCCATATGCCATCCCCAGCCCTGGTTGCTTTTCTTAGCCCACTCTTTCAAACCTCCCCTTATCTTTGTTACTTCTCCAGCTTGTCAGTCAGTACACAGTTGACAGCCCTGCAACCTTCAGCGAATTCACCCTACTATGCTTAATCGCTGTCAAAATAAAAACGAAAATGTAAAAGGCATTTTGTCAGGTCGACATGATCATGAAATTGGCTGATCTAAAATACTATGCCCCTTTCACCCCCGAGATGGACAAGGCTGCCTCTTCTGTGCAGTGTTGCTATGAGATGTAAAGGACTCCAGCCTCCAACTCCGTCTCCAAGCTCACTTAAACCTATCTATCACCTTCCTCGATAACTTCCTGTGCCACACAGGAGAAACAGCCCCTGTCTTTTGTGATGCCTGTCCCTAATCTTGTTTTTGTATTTTGAGCTTGCATTGTCTATTTCTCTGGTATGATACCCCTATAGCATACTCAGAGTTCTGTATCCCCATGCTTATGTTTATTTTTCATCATTTGTCATGCTGCCTAGAATGAAATCTCAGCATTGACTTTATCCCTAGTGCTCAGACAATGCCTGATGTTCAATGAACTGATGAGTATTTTGTGGCTCAGGCCAAGGATTTCCCTTCTTTCACTCTTTCTAAGAGAGAGTGTCTTAGAGGCCAGATCAGCAGCAAGCATTTGGGGCAGGTGTGGGAAGCTGCTCCCAGGGTGAAGTCACTGACATTGGTCAGTAGCAAGAGCACTGAAGGATTTTGGTTCCTATTATGTTGCTTCCCCTGGGATTCAGAGATGACTGGACCAATGTTCTTGTCTGTGTTTTCGTTTATGAGTATCAGATTTCCAGAGAACTAACACTGTGGCCTCATATAATTATTTTTTTCTGATTTGATTTTCTTTCCGAACATTTATCTGAAAGAGGAATGGTTATGCATTTGTTGTTAGGGGAGAGACAATGGCTGGTGTGTAAGCATGTGCGGGTATAGAATATCTGAAGGGCAGTCACCATGTGAGGGAGGAACCTCATATTGGTATTCAGTTCCTCTCATTTATTAGAGAAGATTATTAGCACCTTGCTTTGTGGTATCAAAGAACAGTATTGTGTATCTATAAGATTCCTGATGGAATGTAAGTTTTCCAGTTAGGAGAGTAGTGAGTTACTGTAACCCATATTTCTAGATATAGACAAATTGTGCTCCTTCTCTGTAATGACCCCGCTAAAATATTGCAAGTTATTTTAAACAATTGGAAAACAATGTTCTAATACACTGATCCAAGCTATCATTGAATTTACTGATTCAACAATAAAAAAGCTAACAAAATTTTTTTCCTTTACATTTATTTATTTAGTGTGTGTGCCCAGCAAAAATGTTTTATAACAGCTTTTCAAGTATCACTTTGAACATAGTGATTTGTTTATCAAGGCCCGATATGGCCAGTGTTTTGTAAACACAAAGATTAAGATTTTCCTCAACAGAGGTACAAATGAGATGATGTGAGGGAAGTAAAGAAAAATGAAGCTTATTCTCAATCTCCCATCCATCATGCATCCTCACTCAGTAATTCATAATTAATATGAGTTTCTTATTGCCAATCACATTATACAGATGAACATATCTGAATTTTAAGAGTATCATCTAACACACTTATGATTCAAATCCTGGTGCTCTGATTCCAAGAGCGGTGTTCCTCTAGCTTCTATGCTGTGTGAAGTCTTGCAGCTGATGCAGTACAGACATAGACTTGCAGCGTTGGGAGGGCTGGGTGTGCCCAAAGACAGAAACTCCTACCCATGGTACCTCCACAAGAAATGATCTCTAAACATGGCTTGGGATTCATCATGGGGTGACTGAGAACTTGCTATTCTGGATTGAGATGAGAAGAACCCAGGCGTAGCACAGAGATGGGAATGAGCTTGGTCTGTTCTGGAAACAGAGTGATCATAATAATACTAGGAGCAAGAGGAGAAAACATGAGACTGTGGCTGTGCAGACAGGATGAAGTGCCTCATGTGCTGTGCTTTGTGATTTTACCCTGTAGATGCCTGGCTCCCACCTTGTATTCCTTGGAAGTCTGTCCTCAAAGTTGTCTCACCACCGTCTCTTCTGGCAGCCAGTCCTTCAGACTCCCGCCACACCCCTGCATTGCCTGTTTTGTCAGCTTCACAGTTTTATATGGAAGAGAAGCTGGAAAAACACGCACCTTGGAATCAGAACACTGGTATCCAAGCCCTTGACATGTCATTTCACATGCTTTGAACCTTTTTACAAAAGCCAATCTGTAAAATGAGCTTAAAAATAGAAAACGTAAAAGCTATCGTACTGTGGCCATATGAATAAATTTGCTGAGGGAAGGTCTCAGAAATATGAGTTCTTTTCTAAAATGTCATTAATTCTTAATCTGTAAGTATTTGGGTTGTCTGGCAGGAAGAGTCATAGAAGATAATAATCTGGGCCTTGTACCCACCCTCTGCTCTATTCAGAGCAATTATTATACCTTCATCTGATTTACACCTATGATTTAATAGGATCATGACGCTTAGAAATGAGACCAGAGATAACTGACCATCTCTCACTATCCAAGCAAGAGGGTGGGGGGAGGGGTATTGCCAGATTTACATTTTAGAATGATTACCAGGGTCTCCATTTGGATGCTTAAAGCTGGGGTATGTAGTAAACAGGCAGTCTGCAGGTTTGATGTGAGACAGAGTTAGGCTTGGGAAGAGCTCTTTACTAATGAGCTTGTGGGGAAAGGGATTAGTTGTAGGATGAATGGAGAGTCTCTGCTTGTTCAAGGCCTGCCTGGCCACAGCCGGTCCATTCCCCAGCTCTACTCTTATCTGCCTATGCACTTCCTCACCACCTTGCCTGCCTAAGGATTCAGGAATGTTATGGATTCCTATCTGCCTTGGGTGTTCACTCTAATGGAAGGGTGAGGTACCAGCCAGGCCAGCATCTGCGTGCATGAGATTCTTATCAACCTAATCCCTAAATGATGAAAGAGCAGAAACCAAGAATCATCCTTTAGCCTGAGTGGTTGGGTCAGCCTTTGAAATTTCTAGCCTCCTACAGGCTAGAAGAACAGGAATCACATGTGGGGGTTCACTGTGCTTCCCTTTGGCACAATAGTAATAAACTATATTCAAAGTCCAGGGCCCATGGGTCTCATCGTAAGTAGAAGAAGGGACAAAATTTATTCAGCATAATTAATTATCATTGCTTTTATGAAGTGGCCTTAAAATCCAGTCACATTACTCTACCCTTATTACTTGGGTTAAAGACGTAGGTCCATATATTTATAATGTGTGTGTATATAATGGTAGCTATGTATAATTATATATAATGGTAGTTAAAAAATTAGTGTGAGACAGCCAAACACTAGGTGGAGCCAGGGAAACCCCACGGAAGAGAAGGAGGAGGGATTATAGGAGTCAGAGGGGTCAAGGACACCATGAGAACAATCTGGGCCTTGTACCCACCCTCTGCTCTATTCAGAGCAATTAATTGTACTATTTGAGTTAATTATAATTATAATTAATCAATTAATTATACTATTGAATCAACTAAACAGGGCTCATAGGGGCTGATAGAGACTGAAGTG